GGTGGCTAAGGGCTCTCTGGTCCAGACCAAAGGGACCGGGGCCTCCGGCTCCTTCAAGATGAGCAAGAAGGCTGCCGAACCTAAGAAGGTCAAGAAGCCGGCCAAGAAAGCCGCTCCTAAAGCCAAGAAGCCCACAGCACCCAAAAATCCCAAGACAGCGGCAGCTAAGAAACCAACAGCCGCTAAGAAGTCTCCCAAGAAGGCCAAGAAACCCGCAGCGGCCAAGAGCACCAAGAAGGCTGCAAAGAGCCCGAAAAAGGCCACCAAGAGCCCCAAGAAGGTGGCCAAAAAGGCCCCTGCAGCCAAGAAAGCCCCCACAAAGAAGGCAGCCAAGCCCAAAGTCAAGAAAGCAGCAGCCAAGAAGAAGTGAGCTGTCATCAGTCTCATCAACAAACTACTCACTAAAAGGCTCTTTTAAGAACCACCCACACTATTCTTAAAGAGCAATGTGCTATTAGTTTTTATTATCATTAAATGAATACATTTTTTTAATTAATTAATCGTTATTATCAACATTATTATTATAATATGTAATAATTATAACATTAACATTTCCCATTCTGAAAAAAAAAAAAAAAAGACTGAATTTATTTCCATGACATTTATTTTTGGCAGTTTCAGTGGTTAGAATTTATGTCTCAGCCATCAAACGACAACAGATTAATAATCCAAAGCTAATTTTAGGGTAACATCACATCATACTGCATTAACACAGCTCACAGGCCAACAGCATGATTTTCCTTAATTGTGTTCTTTATTTTGTGAAACCACATTAATTGTTATAATTTACGCAAGTGATGAAAGGCTACTTAAGAGGACGGCCCAATTCCAATCCGATCCCTTACAGACTCACTGACTTAGAGGTGCGTTCATGTGAAGTGCATGAGTGTGTGAAGGCTGTCCTATTGTCAAATCGTCAAGTCAGTGAGTCAGTGAGTGAGCCCTTTATGCCCCTGTACCATAGGTCAGCATTGATGCGGACTTACGGTAAGGAAATTACCCACAGTTCATAGCGTTCTTGAGTGGTGACTGGTTTTGTGAGCTGATGGTGCTCTGTATTGTGGTTGGCTCGTGGTTGGGTGTCTGTTTTCTGTCATGCTGTGCAGTTTCTTTATCGACTATAGTTTTCCATGTCTGGTCAAAATGTGGGTCATCTGGGCATGAATGGATGTTTCCAAGATGATTACGGAAGAATGTGGCTTTGTCTTTATTGTCAGTGATGATTGTGCCCAGGGATTTGAGTGGTGGTGTGTTGTTTTTTGGTGGATCTCCATTTATGCTCTTTATTTTTTGCCAGAAAGTCCGGGGGTTTGTATTTCGGTTGAGTTTTCTGTCGGTGAAGGGAAAGTTGTATTTTAATAGTGCTTTGGAGTCTGTTGATTTCTGTTTTGATGTGGGGTAATCTGAACCTGATGAATTAGTGGGTAGTGTCTGTGCCGGTGCTTTGGCAGATGTTTGGGGTATTGTTTCCTCTCTGGCTTGGATGAGAAGTTGACTTAGGTTAGTTGCTTGGTGGTCCTGACCTTCGGGGATGGTAATGAGAGTGGTCCCTTTAGTTTTTCTTCTATGTTTGTTCTGAATGTTTCCCAGTTTGCTGTTCTGTAGTTGTATTTTTTTCTTTGAGTTGCTTGTAGTTTAAAGGAGACTATAGTGAGAATAAGCAGATGGTCACTGGAGAGATGGTTTGTGGTGGTAAAGTTATGAAGTTTTATAGCCAGGTCAGGAGTGCAGATAATCAGGTCCAGGATGTCTGTGCTGCCTGTTGATGGAAATAGGTGGGTTTGTTTGTGTTTACAATGGACAGATTTGTGTCAGTTGAATTCTGTTTTAGTGCTGTGCTAGTCTGAGTGGGCGGAAGTTTGCTGCAGAGATCAGCCTCTCATTGGGCGGAACGAGCCACCCGCTGAAGTCCCGCCCTACCACCTCCGGTTGTGTAGCAGTTTTCAACCGTTTTCAACACATTCTTTACTAACTTTTGCGGTGTTTGATCTTGCGGGGATGTAGCCATTTTTCTGCCATGGTTCGCGTCCTGTAGGTGATATTTTTGTGGCCGTGTTACACCAAAACCTGTTTCCCCCCGGCAATATTTTTGCAAGCGCACCNTGTAGTTGTATTTTTTTCTCTGAGTTGCTTGTAGTTTAAAGGAGACTATAGTGAGAATAAGCAGATGGTCACTGGAGAGATGGTTTGTGGTGGTAAAGTTATGAAGTTTCATAGCCAGGTCAGGAGTGCAGATAATCAGGTCCAGGATGTCTGTGCTGCCTGTTGATGGATATAGGTGCTGGTGACTGTGATGGGATGATGTGAATGGATTGTCATTTTGGCAGCTGGGGATCTGAAGTCGGGAGGTGGTTGTGAGCATAGTTTCATTTATTGAAGCCACAGAGATGTTGTTGTCGTTGAGTAGTTGGATGGGTTCTTCTTTGCTTCCTCTTATTCCTCTGATGTTTATGTGAAGGAAGGTGGTGAGATTCATTATGAAGAATGATAGAAAATATAGACAGAAATATTGCTCTTTGTTAGAGTGGGGAGGTGGGGTCATATACTGAAGAGTGTGTGTTTCCTGATGCTTGTTAATACTTCCTCTATTTTCCTGTCATCCATGGCGAGTTTTTTGAGGTCATCACAGAGATGAGTGAGGTGGGTATGGTCATTCAGGTGCAGGCTGGGGGGTTTGGTGGTAGTGGAGGGTTTTCTCACTGAGGGTCTGTTGGATTGTGGCTTTTTGTTTGATGGGATTATGTATGAGAGGTAGACAGGACAGGACTTGGAGGTGGCAGTGTTCTCCACCATAGTTGGTGCAGGATTTGTGGTGGTGGTTTTCTCCACATCCCAGGCAGACGACTGGGTTGGTGCAGCTGGTGGAAATGGGTTGAATTGTTGGCATTTGTAGCATTGTTTGATGGCAGGTGGGGGCCGAGCCTTCTCCACTCTGTACTGGAACAGGTCCATGTAGAAGCCTTCGTGGAGACGGCCGGCTCCTTGGTCTGGGTTGGTGAGGTGGATCTTGATGAATGTTGTTGGCTGCTGGGTGGTTTTGCTGGTGATTTTGTGGATTCTGGTGATGTTGATACCTTGTTTTTCCAGTTCAGATTTGACCTGTTCCTCTGCGTGTTTGTGTAGATGCCTTTGATGACAAGAAGTTTAGTAGGGGGTTCAGACAGGCGTGCCAGTCTGCAGGTCAGAGAGAGGTGAGAGGAGACAGTTCAGGCAGGGGATGTCTTTGGGGAAGATGAGAAGGTGGCCATTTCTCATGTGAACCAGTTTTTGGAGCTGGACTGAGTTTCTGAATTTCCTGGAGAATGGATTGGGTTGTTGAGAAAAGATTGTTTGGGGTTTTGTAGTTCTCTACAGGTGTGCTGTCTTGGTGCTTTGATGATGGTTAGAGGCTGTGAATGTGGGTATATATATATCCTTTCTGTGGACGTAGTTGAGCTCTGCTGGGCGGAGACATTTGTTCTAACAATAGAAACTAGGACACTGATGAACCCTTCACCTTCACAGTAGAGGCGAGAAATTACTATTCTACTGTGAATCGTTCATCTTTCAGTCACCTTTTTTATGTCTTTTTTTTTTTCCAATGAGAAAAACAACATGTACAAAACATCAGGTAGTTAATAACAGCACATATTAAACCATAAAACAAAAACAGGCAAAAAGAAGATAGAAGCTCACAGAGAAGGGAAGTTGTGCAGTCAGAGGATTTGGAGTAAAAATTGCACAATTTTCCAAAAGCTTGGTATTCTGTTTCTTTCCTAACAAACTGAGCGATGTAAGAGGAGCCTTGAATACTATGAGAAAACGGTAAAAATTCAGGAGGTGACTTTGATCATCTCTGCTTATGAATAAAAAGTCTAGCATTTTTAATAACAACATTAATTAGATATTGAAGAAAACTTTTATCTGGATCATCATAATAACAAATACTATCCCTGAGGTCAAAGGAGTAAACTGAATTAGAGTTTTCAAAGAGGTGCGTTTCCAGATCGCTCCAAAATCTTTTGGATATTTCACATTGAAGAAAAAACAAACAAGCAAACAAAAAAGAGAAACACTTTCTATATTAATACTTATCAGAATATGCAACTGTACAGATAATCTGAGTCTTTATATCGTGACGTCAACTGTATGACTTTGTAGATGATCTTTTTGGCTGCTGTATCAGTTTCCATCACTTATTAAATCTTCTATCAACTAAGTTATAGTAGACTAAATAGATGCTAAATTTAACAGAGTCGTCTGTATATCTCATACCTGACAATCACCAACAGTTTCTGATGTACAAATGTAAACTATAGTGTTATTCACCAACTCTAAAACTGAGCCTTTAATTGTGGCAAAATTCTCCAGAAACAGTAGCTATGTTTCCATCCAAAAGTGATTCGAATCACTGGGAAATTCGCATTAAAAGAAATACGAATCCTGTGTGTTTCCATTAAATGTACCGACTTTGGTGAAAACTACAAACTCACGTGAGTTTTCTGCTTAACCGGAAACAAAACAAGCAACCAGCTTGTAAATGCATTACTGCCTCCCCGACCAGGAGTGCGGATAACACCATGGAGAGAGGTGCGCTATGTAAGACTTAATTCGAACTTAACTGTTTCCATCCCCGTTTTACGAATCAGCATTTTTTCGAATCAACCAAAACCCGGTTAAAGCGAGCGTATTTTAGTATGTGCAAATCAGGGGATTTTAATTCGAATTTTGGCGTTTCCATCATAATTTTCCGATGCAATAGTTCTAAATGCGCCTCTAAACAGGCTGATGGAAACATGGCTAGTGAGATGTTAACAGTTGGTAAATTAAAGTATAATCAGGAGGAAAACAAATTGTGTTGTATGATTTGGGAGAGGTGGATAATGAGGACTGAACTCTCCATTAGATGATTCAACGAAACCCTGAAATATTCTGATGTTGACATAATGAGAAACTAGAATGGGTGTTCTATTTTTATGTGTTTAAGTTTGTAGATTTCTCTTTATATGAAAAGACACAATATGGAACATTATAGTTTTAATTTTATTAATGCTGCATTGATCACAGGCAATATTGGATCAGTAACAATTCACAGAATAGTTACAATGGATATACATAGAAAATGCTGCTTATTGTAGTCCCTTAATTATATGGTGTTCAATGATCTTCAGCAAATGCATATTACTCATCTTTGGAAAGTCTTCAGATAAAGTGGGTGGCTCTTAAAAGAGCCGTTGTTTTGGATTAAGAGCAGGACTGTCTACTTGGAGCTGGTGTACTTGGTGACGGCCTTGGTGCCCTCAGACACAGCGTGCTTTGCCAGCTCACCGGGCAGCAGCAGGCGGACGGCGGTCTGGATCTCCCTGGAAGTGATGGTGGAGCGCTTGTTGTAGTGAGCCAGACGAGAGGCCTCACCGGCGATGCGCTCAAAGATGTCGCTCACAAACGAGTTCATGATGCCCATAGCCTTGGACGAGATGCCGGTGTCGGGGTGGACCTGCTTCAGCACCTTGTACACGTAGATGGCGTAGCTCTCCTTCCTGGTCCTCCTCTTTTTCTTGCCGCTCTTGCTGACGCTCTTAGACACGGCTTTCTTTGAGCCCTTCTTGGGCGCTTTGACGGTGGTTTCAGGCATGATCAGGACGGTATGTTTCTTCCAAAACCTATGAAATTTACTCCCGCAGAGTGGTGCATTTGTATCCACCTGATGCAAATAATACTGTGCTGTTGCTCGCACTGGATTGGTCAGCTTCTGAAGCTGGGGAACAATACAGTGGGTGGGTGAGGGGAGAAAGAAGAAAGAAAATCAAGTTATTTAAAAAGTAAAAAGAAATAGTCGGCGTTGGGTTAAATACAAAATTATTCAGGTATTTAAATAATAAATGATATACCTGGTATAAATGATATAGTTAATGCCACTCCTTTTCAAATAAAACACAAAGGAATACATTAGTTAAAATCTGTTCAAAAGCTTCTCTTTCTGTACAGGATTTTAAATCCTCACATAATCCACCTAAGCTGTTTGGACTCTAGAACAAAAACTAGAATAAACATATCTTCTCACCTTTGATAGCTTGAATATGTTACAGTAGTGACTGATTATTCTGATCATTTAGTAGTAAAAAGCCTCTGTCCTGTGTGGGGGTAATAATAAAAAAGAGACTTTTGGAAACTTAATGTTAAATATCTAAATAAGGTTTAGGCACAAATGCCACTTGTTACACTGAGGTTCAGGTCAGCCTAGCCTGAGGTTTGATGGTGGGAAATGCTGTGATGTGTCAGTAAAACAACTATGACTGCTCCCACAAACACTGGTGGATGTCGCTACGTGTCACCAAAAAAGACAACTGGTGTTGTTTTTTAGGTTTGTTGGTGGACAGTGGTCTGTAGCTGAAGTGTCATGCCATCCACCATCCCCTACACCTCCGGATAACAACATCTGCTTATAGTCAAGCGGCTTAGAGACATATGTGAAAAGAATGGGGACGTGCCGGACAAAAGCACCACATTTTTTTATGTGTTCTCCATAGCTTTCAATTTAGAAGGGGAGCCGCTTCATCACAATGGTGAGTGGCAGCCATCTTGAATTTCCAAGATGGCCGCCATGTAAAATCTGTGTGCCCATATCTCAGCTTCCAAGCTACTTAGAAGGTCAATTCTGGTGACAAAATATACATTTTCTGGGTCAAGGAATGCATTAAAGCTATTAGGAATATCACTAAATGATTATTCATTAAGATCAAATAAAAATATTAATTCTGGGAATGTATTCACATGATTTTCAACAAAAGCGGCTGGAATGGATGACATGAATGATTTGAATTCAATTGAACTTTATTAGCTTCCCTTTTAAACAGTATAATCCAATTATCTATCACATTTGTAACTGCAAAGCTCTGTGCATTCCCATTGTGCCTTCTTGCATGAGCCCTTTGTACCAAGCTGCAACCTGTAAGCAAACACATGATTCCACTGACTATTAGCATGCAAGTGATTATCATTATCATGTAATATAAGTTAACCACCTACCGTAGCTACCTAGTACCTTAGTAACAACCTAACTAGTAAGTTATTATTTGATTAGATATTATTCATTTGAAACAAGCACTGGCTAATAACTAGACTACCTAGCTAGGCTGACTAGCTATTTTGTGATTTCAGCCGCTGAAACTAGCTAGCTAGGTAGCCTAGTTATTAACCTGTACTTGCTAGCTAAAAGCATTGCATGGCTGCATGCTTTTGTGAATACATGAAGATTAAATGTGTGACGTGTTAACACCATGAAACAGTTTTTAACATACTATGAAAACCCATTTCCACCACTGTGATTTCTTTATAGAAGTTATGAAAATTTCCTTTTTTTATTTATTAATATGTTTTAGTATCTTAAAATAATAAGCTGGTATCTTTAAACAAAAAAAAAAAAACAAAAAATCTGAAACATTCAATGAATGACTGTCTACCAGGGTGGACACTTATTACGGCTCACCAAATATAATAAACCTGAAAAGCTGAAAAAGCTCATAATAACCCCCCAAAAAACAGACCTCAATGTCTGTCTGTGATTCAAAGATGAATCTGTTAATTTACACAAATCACAAAAACGAAAGAAATAGCACATAACTGATTTCACCACACTCTTTAAATACACTCACTAACAGTATATAATCAAATATAATCATAGCTGACAGGAGAAGAAACAATTGGAATATCCACAATTATCGTGAACTATATAAATATTTCCCTTCTCCTGATCCAGTAAATGTCTGTCTTCTATAATGTAATGAAGATATTTCAACTTTATCTACACAATCCCATATTCTATTTTATAAAGGTGAGTCATGTCAGTGCCTTCTGCACATGTATTTCCTTACATACAATATTATTTCCTAATAATACAGGACTTACAATAAGTACATTCAAGCATGTAGTTACACAATAATAAATACACAAATTATTGAGTA